ACAGAGGGACTGCAAATGGCACAGCTGGCAGCATATCAAAACCAAGTCTGCGGGCACAAGAAAAGTCACGGACGGAGAGGAAGGGGACGTGGAGGAACTGACCCCTGTTTTAAAGCAGCAATCTCTTTTCCAAATCTTTGTTGCTGGCAGTACTGAATGATGGCAAGCTCGGCCTCCAAAAGATCCTTTGCTGACAAAACTTGTCCCTTTGGCGTGTCTGATCTTAGCTTGCTGGTATTGGAAGCCTCTGCCTCACTCCTCCCGCGCCATTTTTCCAGCAGAATGCCTTTCAGCTTAAAGAACAAGGCAACGGATACCTTGAGCTTCATCCAACTTGAGAAGTAGGCCATAAGCTGACTTGTGGCATCAGGTGAACCCTCCACATTGATGACATTCACCATGGCTTCCTTCTTGACCTCTATGTCATCTTTGCAGCTGGAGCTTCAGCTCTGCCTTCAGCATGAGGTCAACACGAACAGCCAGAACGGCAGCAGTCAGCTCCATGCGAGATATGGTAACAGTCTTTAAAGGTGTAACCCTAGCCTTACCCATCAGGAATGCAACATGTATGTTATTTTTATTGTTCTGCATCCTGAGATAAGTGACAGCTCCATATCCTGCTTCACTAGCGTCCAAAAAAAAAGCGGTTTAAGGCACCTTTCAACCTCAAACTCAGAGAGAATATCCAGGTCCTCCATCCATCTTGTCCACTGATGCAAGCTGTCCTGGGGTATGGACTCGTACCATCCAAAATTTCTTCTACACAGCTCCTGCAGCATGATTTTAGCAGGCAACACAACTGGTGCAAGAAACCCCAAAGGATCATACACAGAACTAGAGACAGACAAGTATCCTCGTCTGGTGCAAGTCTTGTGTTGTCAGTCATCAACATAAAAGTTATCCTTGACTGTTTGAACCACTGCAGCTGGAAAGTCAGACTGATTGTCATCTGCTGTTTTCCTCAAAGCGAAGCTGGCACAACTTGAAGAGGAAATTGCACCAAACAGATGGACAGTCATTCGAAACTCAGCCAGCTCCTTGGTCTGATCTCCCTCCAGCCACCACAAAAAACTGTCCCTCTCTGACCCTTTCTGAGCATTGCAGACATTTCAGCAATCTCCATGAACCTTATGTCCTCCTTCGAGAGCCCCTTTTCCTCTGTAGCTCTCTCCTTAAAGTCATGGTTGTACTGCTCACTCAGCATTTTTTCCAACCTGCTCACAGAAATCCTGTTGACAACCACTGAAGGGACCTCAGCTTCCAAGCTGCTGCCATTTCCTTGCAAAGGGCCATTAATGACCCATCCCAGCACTGTTCTTATAGCATACGCCTATAGCCTTCCCCTTGGCTATTTATGACCTCCCAAGGTTCCAACATCTTGGGAGCGTTGCTTCCAATCAACACATCCACATAGTCTTTATGCTGGGAATTTTTACCTTCGATAGATCACTTTGCCAGCTCTCCTTCAGTCACAATGTTGTCCATGCTTACAGGCATCTTCCTCTGGGTGAGGACTTCAGGAAGTTTATAGAAAAGGTTACTCTCCTAACCAGATATTTCCAAGCCTGATTTTTGTTTTATGAGATGCTGTGATGTTACATGCCACAGGCTCCTTGGAATACTTTGTGTTTGTGTTACCTCTGTCTTTTTTGCCAATATGAAGCACACTGGGGTGGGTTTGACTACAAACCCTGCAGGTCAAATGCTTGTCACAGTCTCGACTCCTGTGCTCAGCACATAAACAGCCAAAGCAAAGCTCCTTTTCCTTAAGAAAGCTTATTTTGTCTTGGTGTTTCTTCCTTTCAAACTGTTGACATCCTTCCAATTAGTGACTTCCAGAACAACACACAATTACAGTTGTAAAATCCCTGTTGTAACTCTCTAACTTGCTTGAAGAAACACTCTGCTACACAAAGCAGATAGAAAATGCCTATTAAAAACCTAAGCATAGAAATTAAAAAAGGACAGCTATTGACATTTTAATTTTTTTTATTCAAACACACACACCTAACAAAAGCAGTACTGAAAAAAATAGAAATTAAATACAGCAATCAAGTAAAGTAAAAAGTAAAAAGAAAAGAAAACAATATAATAAAAAGAACTATAATACAATGTGCAAAACAGCAGCATCCAACAGTTTTAGGTGTCTCTTTGAACTAACCACCATCATCTATCGAACTGTAACTTTTTATTATTTTTTTCAGGGCAGATTGGCTTTGAGGAAGACCAAGAGCCTCAGCTTAGAGTGGCTGATCCGGTTTCTTCTCTCTGTTATTATCTGCCCTGTTTTAGAAAATATCATTTTCTGATGTCGCTCCGATGCATAGTCGCCCTGCCATCACCTTGACTAGTTTTGGGTACACTGAAGCCCTGGATTCCCACCAGCTCAGCGGGTCTGCCACATGTCACCATTGTAACAACTCTCTTAAAGACATGAACAGTTTGAGTTTCAGGAGATAAATCTACCCTGAATAGGACAAGGTGGCTGAGTGGTCAAGGTAATGGACTGCTAATCCATTGTGCTCTGCTTTCAGGACATAAATTTGCTCTGAATAGGATGAGGTGGCCGAGTGGCTAATCCATTGTGCTCTGCACGCGTGGGTTCGAATCCCATCCTCGTCGTAGTCAACTCTAAATGACAGAATATTATGATCATTGTCTCAAATGCAGTATTGCTGTTTCGTGTAGTGAGAAAACTATTAACCAGGACCCTCAACATAGTTACCTCTTCTGAATGTCTTACCTCCTTGAAATGACGGACAGGAAACAAGTTAGTGAAGAAAAATTAGCGTTTACTGAGTGTCAAAGTAAGGTGACAGGCCAACATGTGCTTTCAGGAGAAATGTCCGTCCCCCTTGGTGGTGACACTGCAATTGTCTGAGCTTCACTGGAGGGATGGTACACCATTTCTCTGAATCATATCACTCCATGGCGTAAAAACAGGTATTGTATCTCATTTTAGATGAAGACCTTGTCAAACGGAATTTCCAAACTTGCTCTACCAGAGTAAAATTAAGATATTGAACCTTCTCTGGAGAATGTGGGCATCGATCCCACTACCTCTC